GGGGGGGGGGGGGGGGGGGGGGGGGAGGGGTTGGTAACCACTATTCCTCCTATCAATAGGAGAATGAATTAATTTTTACAGCGACACTACTTTGTGACGCAAAAACCCCCAACCAGAAAAACTACTCAAAAGCAATTGTTGTCTCCTGTTAACAGTTGGGATGGTGGGAAGGTGGTCATTTCAATGCAAGATGGACCAGGATCTATAAAACACAATTCTGGCCACGTGTGAAGAATTAAAGGGCAAAAGAATAACCCATTACAGGTAGTCCTTGACTTACGACCACAATTGAGCCCAAAATTTCTGTCGCCGAGCGAGACAATTGCTAAGTGAGTTTTGCCCCATTTTACGACTTTTCTTGCCACAGTTTGTTAGAAATACCCCTGCAGTTGTTAAGTCAGTGACACAGTTGTAATCTGATTTCCCCATTGATTTTATTTGTCAGAAGATCGCAAAGGGGGATCACAACCATTATAAATATATGCCAGTTGCCAAGGGTCTGAATTCTGATCACGGGCCCATGGGGGATGCTGCAATGATCGTAAGTGTGAAAAACGACCGTAAGTCACTTTTTTCAGTGCCGTTGTAACTTCAAACAGTCTCTAAACCGGAGGTCCCCAACCTTTTGGGCACCAAGGACCAGTTCCGTAGAGAGAGGGTTTTCCACAGACTGGAGGGTGCGTGGTTTTGTGTGCTGCCTGGATCTCACGGATGGGGCTTTGCTTGTTTGTGTGGACTGGCTGCTGGCATGCCACAGCCCAGTTCTGGCCCACAGACCGAGGGTTGGGGACCCCTGCTCTAAACGATTGGTTGTAAGTTGAGGACTACCTGTACTTCTTAGAAGCCATGGACTCTCAATTCTACAATTGTTTTTAAAAGGAACCCAAATGTTGCGCTGTCCCAAATCAGCCATATTGTCACCAAATTTCAGCCACTGCATATTCTGATAGGGTGCTGGACTTTGGCACAACACATGGCCTACATGTGGCTAGCCATCCCTGCCAAAAGGCAGTCAGCAATAATTGGTTTCCTCCAAATGTAACTTTCAAGGATGGGAGACCCATTTATGGGATTTGTAGTCTAATAGATGCCCCCATCCCCCACCCCCACCCTAATTGCCTGCACGATGTCACATCTCTGCCCTTCAACTTGGATGACGTCATTTTCTGGTTGGCTTTGAGCAGCAAAATACCTTGGATGAATCCAGGACCCCAAAGTAGAATAAAATGGAGAAAGTTAAATTTAAAAAAAGGTGTGGAAATTAAAAGACTCATTGGAAAAATCAAATAACAGAAAGTATCAAAGAATTTAATTCTACTCCTATGATGATCAATCAATATACAAACCAGCAATATATAAACTGGTAATAATGAACGGAAGGAGGAAAAGCTGAAAGAAGAAAGCGTGAGGTATGAGAGCAGTGATGAAAAAAATAGAACAATTTTTTTCCGCATACAGGAGGACATAAAGTCACACAAGAAATAACTCCCAGCTACCAAACCGGCTGGTGTAATTTTTCTCATAAAAGAAAAAATGGCATTCTGTTGGTGCCAACAATAACACAATGTATTAAGTCACCCCGTAAAACCAGTTCTTGGTGTCTATAAATACACTGGCGAAGCAACAATGGCCAAAAATAATCTAAACACATAAACCTTAGTTTTCTTTGCTATTATAATTACACGTGCTCCTCCACACTCTTTTGGGCACTGCTGATGGTTGTATGCTTTAGCATATGGTTAAATGGACTGTCATTTTTACTATTATCATACATATTGTTTTATCTTACTGACATTTATTTTTTGTTCTAATTATAGAAAAGGTACGTGAAATGTTTAAAGTAAATGCAAGCAGTCCTCAACATACGACCATAATTGAGCCTAAACTTTCGGTTGCTAAGTTTTGCCACATTTTACGATGTTTTTGCCACAGTTGTTAAGTGAATCACTGCAGTTGTTATATGAATCGTGTGGTCATTAAGCGAATCTGCTTCCCCCATTGACTTTGCTTGTCAAAAGCCAGTTGGGAAGGCTACAAATGGTGATGATCACATGACCCCATGACAATATAACTGTCATAAATACATGGCAAGTGCTGGGTGCCCAAATTTTGAGCAAATAACCACGGGGAATGTTGTAACAGTTGTTAAATGTGAAAAACAGTCATATGTCCCTTTTTTCAGTGCCATTATAACTTTGAATAGTTACTAAACAAAAGGTTGTAGATCGAGGGCTACTGTTATTAGCAACTGTGATAGCTTACCTCGAAGGAGTATCTAAGGAGTAATTAATTCATGCTTCTTTTCTTAGAAATGTATGAATTCATTTATCATGGTATCTTTCTCCAAAAATGCTTTTCGGCTAAAAGAAAATTATAAGCTTCTTTAAAAAAAATATATCTACAGTTCTTCTTAAAAATAAAGCTGGTATTACATGTAGTTTTATAGCATTGTTAAGTTACATTACACTTTACAATCCATTTAGCTAACATGACATCTCCTTTCGAAACAAAGCCTTTTTTTTTGCACACTTAAGTGCAATTAATTGCTTTTCACCAATGAGCTGTCTTAGAAATATAGTAAATTGCTTCAAGCTTTTAACTAATGGTCAAAGAAAAATACAAATCTATAGCCATAGCACTTAGTGGAAGTGGAAAAGGTGGAAAGTGGAGAAGTAATAGGGATATAAATAAAATTCTGGTGGGAATTTTTTCCCCCACACATTTTATACTGAATAGTTTGCTTAGGGAAGACTTTGTTGCTAATCCCAGGGCCAAGAGAAATGACTTGCTAACAAACTAACCTACAGGTCAGGTACACAATGCTTTGTGTAATACTTTAGGTTTGTCTAAGCATGTTGTGGGAACCCAGCCAACTATGATGTATTAATCAACCATGATATGTATGAAACATAAATGTATGAAATAAATAAGCAAAATATTGTTGCTATTGTTTAGGTTTCCAAGGCCACAATTCTGGATGGCTTACAGAGATTTAAAAAAAAATTAAAAATCATAAATTGTATTTTAAAAAGTGAACATACCAAGGGGAAAAAAATCCCAGCCCCCAATCTCAAACAGCACATATACCCACAGTGACCATGTGTCATTTATTTAAAAGAATAGTCCTTTATTTCAAAAATCTGTGCTTTAGATTTATTTTTCAAAAAAAATAACCTTGATTTTGGCCATTTAATTTTTACTGTGCAAATGGTACCACTTAATGCCGTCTTTCACATTCATGTAAAAAATATGGAAACTGAATTGCCTTTTTCAAAAATATTACATATACTGTTTCATTTTAGATATTTTTTGTAAAATAAGCATTTCTGTAATGTTTTGCTCTTCCTTTATAAAGCAAAATTATAAGACAAATAACACATTTTTCATCCTTTAGAGTTGCCCCTTTTTCAGGTCTGCCCTTTATTTTTTTTTCTAAGAAAATATGGTCAGTATATCTGGTGATTAATAAAAACCATATCCCACCCTAATTATTTTGTTTGGAAGGAGTAAAAGAGAGATTACTCCAAAGGACCCCTACAGCATCTTAGAAATTGTTTAGCCGTTCCATAATAATTAGAGCTTATAACTTCATGCTTCCATAGGTATGAGTCATATAGGAGAAGGTATTATGTGTTATTGTATATTTTATCTATTTATTATTTATTTATGAAATGTATAGGCTGCTTATTTCAAGATAACTCTGGACGGTTTACAGGCATAAAATTAGATAGATAGATAGATAGATAGATAGATAGATAGATAGATAGATAGATAGATAGATAGATAGATAGATAGATAGATAGACAGACAGACAGACAGACAGACAGACAGACAGACAGACAGACAGACAGAGGTAGGTAGGTAGGTAGGTAGGTAGGTAGGTAGGTAGGTAGGTAGGTAGGTAGATAGATAGATAGATAGATAGATAGATAGATAGATAGATAGATAGATAGATAGATAGATAGATAGATAGATAGATAGATAGATAGATGTAGGTAGGTAGGCAGGCAGGCAGGCAGGCAGACAGATAGACGTAGGTAGGTAGTAGGTAGGTAGATAGATAGTGCAGGATGGCAGAGGGAGGTGGGATCCATTGTTAATCGAGCAACCACTTGCACTGTGATGCTCCCCCCACTGGGGTTCCACACTAACTGGCACAGTTAGGCTCTTCCGGAAGGTCAGGGGTTCATTGCATTGCTCCAGATTTGGGATTTTGAGCAAGACAGCAAAGGCTTCTGTCATCAGGACTGGATAAAGAGAAGACCTGCTTTAAACTCAATTCTTACAGCTGTCCCTGAGCAGTTCTGCAGATGTAGTGATATGTGGGAATGACCCGGATAATAATAATAATAATAATAATAATAATAATAATAATAATAATAATAATAATAATAATAATAATAATAATAATAATAATAATAATAATAGGAATAAGAAGAAGAAGAAGAAGAAGAAGAAGAAGAAGAAGAAGAAGAAGAAGAAGAAGAAGAAGAAGAAGAAGAAGAAGAAGAAGAAGAAGAAGA